TATATATATATATATATTATGTTTTGTTCATATGACTTTTAATTTTAAAAGCTAAATCAAACTATACTATAAATATTGTAACATCCAAAAATTTATTGATTAGAATATGGTAAATAATAGTTGTTTAAAAAAGAAATCAACCCCTTAATGAGTTTAAACACAAGAATTGAATAATAAAAACCTTGACTAAAATAAAAAAGTTTTTTCAATTTTTGATTAAGTTAATATAGATTTATTGAACTAGTATACATTAATGAAGAGTCTTAGGAATTAAATAGAAGTTGTTTTAGATCTAACACTTATTAGAGACCTAAATCAAAACATATAAGTGATAAATTAATTAGTAGTGAAGTCTAATAACTAATTAATTAGTAATTTAGCTAACTGAATTAAATCAAGCACTTGATTAATATAAAGAGGTTAACTAGTAATGCTAGTAAAATTCCATTAGTATAAATAAGGATTAAATTAATTATGAAAAAAAAATTGAAAGGTGTGTTTAGTTGAGATAGAAAATATAATTGATTAAGTTAATCAAGTGTTCAAGTTATTGATTTCTCTGTTCTTGTAATCGATTACTTCATAGTATTTTGTTCTTACCATTTACACTTAATTCACTCTTTATCTTTTATGGCTTGGTTGTTTTTAGTATATGAAAACTTGATCTTTTTTAACTCATTTTAGTCTTTGTCTTAGAAACTTTAAGATTTGAGATTAACTTCGCTAAACTAAACCCTAAACCCTAAACTAAACCTATCTACCTATCTAATTAACCAAGACATACAAAAATAAGAAAATGACCTATATTACTACAACATGAATCTTTCTTGATCTTTTTGACTCCTTGCATCATCACAAGAAAAGCCAAAACATCATCACATCTATCTCCAACATCTTCCTCTACTTTTAAACAAGAGATAACACTAAAAGACATTTTGTACAACTGTACTATCTCTCTAATATACAACTGAGTCAACTTCTTTAAGAACCAATTGATGTTAATGGGCAAGATGTGAAAACACTTCATCATCTAGATAACATGACTCTTCCTAGCTAATCTAGACAAATCAACCACAAAGTTCATAATTATTGTAACATCTCAATTTTTTGAAATAAAATAAAATAAGTTATTTTAATAAAATTATATTATAGGCTTAATTAATTCAATTAATTAGGTTTATAATATAAATAAGTGTTTTATTAAAATAAAATAAAAGGGGTTGTAAGTGGAGGAAAGAGTTTTGTGTTGGACTTTGAGCCTAACCTAGAGGCTTATTAAAAACAAAAATAAGGATTCGATTTTCCTTATGCATTTTTTTGAATCCTAGGAGCCCTTGTAGAGGAGAACTTGAAGGAGATCACTAGAGAGTTTATGGACTAGCGACTAACGCTACGAAGAATGCTTGTGCTGCGAAATCGTCACTTGAGATAAGGAAGAGTGAGGATTGTCAAATCTATGGGCATGTATAAGGGGTAAAGGTAGTGAAGTGATCCCTAAGCCTCTTAAGTCTCTATTTGAATTTATGTGGGTGCCTATGTGTGAATTTATAGTTGTGAGTACTGTGATGTCTTAGTAAAAATTTGTGCATATATTCTAACATAGTTAATATGATGATGAATTAATGTGTTTTGAGGTTTAGGGTTATATTCATGAATTTTGAGTTTTGACTTGATTGGATAAATTTGAATGATATGGTGATATTGTAGTGTTATATGAGTGTTGTTTAAATGTTTGATTAATTGAATTGAAACAAATAGGTGAATTGATGGATTTGGATGGATTGGGAGAATCCAAATTACAAAGCTCATGATTTTGCAAAGTGTAAAATTTGTGATAAAGTCAAGCACAAGGAGTGCAACTCTTAGTGTTGTGCCTGGAGAGAGCCATGCTAGGCGTGGAGATGCCAGAGGGGTTTTTTAATCTTCTAAGCTTGGCAGGGTATCTCACTAGGTGCCATTTTGGAGAAGAGATGATGTCAAACATGATCTGGATCTCATCAGGCGAGTTAGGTCCAAAGGGGTCTTTAACTCCTCAGCATTCATCAAGAAAAGATCAAAGTTGGGTGCAAATCAAGCAAAAAGGTCCTTAGTCTCTCCATACGGGAAGCAAGTACTACCACATCGAGCATGAATTTGACCTTGCTAAGCACCATACCATTTTTAATTAACTATGTTATAGAAAAAATTGGTGATGGAGGAGCCTATGAAGAGTGATTAGTGTCAAAGTTAAAGAATATAATAAATAAGTAGTAATTGTGATAAAAAGTAACTGAAATGAGAAACATATAAGGAAGAACTATAGTTATGTGAGATCAAGTATAAGTTGTAATGTAATGTGAATGAGTGTTACTGATGTTATGATACTAATATGGTAACAATGAATGTGTGATGCGTGATGATGATATTATGAAAGGTGATGATGTACAAGATGATGAGAATGACATTATGATGATGTATATTGAAGAGATATGATAATGATGTTGAGCATATAAGTTCAAGTTAAGGATTACAATAATGAGATCCAAGTAGGGTGTGGTGTGTAGGGATGGCAACGGGGCAGGTGGGGTACGGGTTTCATGATACTCGTCCCCGTCCCCGCGAGCCAAACCCATCCACGTCCCTGTACCCGTACCCGTCGCGTACCTGTACCCGTACCCGTCAAAATTTTTATTTTTTATTTTTATTTAAAAATATAATATTTTTAAATTATTTTTTTATTATATTATAATTATAATTAGGTTATTTCTCTATCTCATATTATAATAAATAATCACACATAAAAAATATTAAAATTCTTTAATATAATTAAATTGAAAATGAGTATTAAATTAAAAATGGGAATGGGGACGGGTACGGGTACGGGGCGGGTAAGTACATACCCGTACCCGATTTAATATATTGGGTTTTACCCGTACCCGTACTCGGTCAAACCGGGTATTCCCCGTCAAAGTCGAGACAGGTTCGGGGTATTACCCGCGGGTACGGGTATATTTGTCATCCCTAGTGGTGTGTTGTAGAAATGTCTAGGTCTACAATCTGGCAAGTATCACCAAATGGTCATTGCATATGTTGTGGTGTGTTTTTGTTTGTAGAGTCCATACATTCATGCTTTGTTTACAAGTTAGTGTGAGTTTATGTAGGAAGATCTCTATGGTCATCTACCAAACCTTGGGAGTGTTATGATAGGGAGCCTTTAAGTTGGGTATAAGGTAACCATGTACGATTATAATGTTTCAACTATATATTGGTAGACATCCCCTAGTTGAGAGTGGATTAAGAGGGTTACCTAATGTGTGGTGATCCAGTCCATGACTTTTAGGTTGCCTTAAGTTTGTGATGATGAGAAAATTGATACGGCATGCATATAAAGTCAGGTACATGCATTTGCAAGAGTTTTATTTTATATTGAGATGTATTGAATGAGATAATGGTTGATGTTGATGATTAATGAATATATAGTGATAGATGTATTGAGTTAAATATGGCTTTGAATAATTAAAGTGAAAATAATTGTATGTATAAATGCATGGTTATGATGTATATCTTTAATACTATTCACATGCCTTATATGTGTTGTAGATAGATAAGATATATTCTCATTCACTGTATTTGTTTTTATGTGTTTGAGTTGATTTCCACTTTCAATACTAAATCTAGTACAAAAATAATAGTTTGATGGAGGTGAAGCCTAGTTTTTTGATAGTTGTTCGGGATCTTGTTTTGATAGTGTGACATTGGGGCTAGAGAGATTCATCCATTCTTTAGTTATAAGATGGAGCTAATTTTACTTTATGTCATTTTTATGTTGGAATTTTGTAAAACAGAAAAGTTGTAGCTCATTATGTACTTATGTTGAATTTTATTTATATTTTGGCCAAAGAGTTTTTGAATTAAGTTTTGTGAACCCTTTTACTATAAGTTAATGTTTAAGTATTTTATAATGCATTTAATTTAATTGCTTTTATTGTGAAAATATTTATACATTATGCTTTATGGTAGAAGGGTGTCATAGTTATACTATCATAATTCCACTCTAAGATCTCCATAAACTAACAAATTATCAAACTTTTGATGACCTTTATTTTTTGACAAGCCAGACAAGTTACTGTGTACTCTAATATTTCCTATATTAGACCATCATAACATCTTTTTTTAGGTCTTGTTACATCTTAATCATACTAAGAATCATATTAAGTATACTCTTGTGACCTTTATCCTAAAACCATATTCAGCAACTCATAATCTTGAGGAAGAC